TATTCCTCTCTATTTTTAGAGTTTTACTTTCTCCTATTTTACATCTCAGTTTTTATTTTCTGGCCAAATGCAGGAAACTTCTCTTGGACTTTCAGTTTATGATAATAACATAATTTACCTCTATTTCATATTTATGGTAGGTCTCCTGCATATGAACGAGTTCCATTCCAAGTGCGTGTTCGTAAGTCTAGTTTGTTTGTAAGTTCAACCAAGTTAGCCTCAGCACCCAACTAACACAAATAGGCTATACCAGCTACATCACTGCCGCTCTTATGCTTGCTTCCAAACATCCTGGGCTTGAAATAAAAATACTGCACTACTATATTCTATGTACTAGATGGTAAAGTATGCAAAAGCACAATCACACGTAGAGGATGCACATGCAGGACAATGTATAACAGACACGTGAACTAACATCTTATGTGATTGGACATCCAAATACACGTTCACATCTTTGAAAGTTTTCAACTTGAAGATTTGTATGTAGGGGTCATACTGTAGCGTGATTTTTTTCCTCCCTTTTATTTTTCTCTCAGGTATTGTGGGTGGAATACATTGTGAACTTGTACAGTTATTAATTCTAAATTTGTTTCTCTAACTCATCTTTCCTGACATTACTACTGTTTCTACTTCTGCATGAAACTCTAGTCATTGTTGATTTCTCAAAATTTGAATGTTGAATCTAGTGTGTGTCAGTATTCTGTTTTTTATTACTGTTTCAAAAACAGATTTGCCTTTCCAATGATATTTGGGTTAGACTGATGTTTAAATTACTTTGTCTATCTTGAATCAACACCAGCTGGCATGGGGTTAAAAAAAAAATAAAGAAAAGCCTAGAATTGTAATAGGTGGTAGGGAAGCTATTCTGAAGCAGCACATCATTAAAACCAGATTATTACTATTCCTGGGAATGCTGCTCGGTATACTTTTCTGTTTCCTATGAATGTAATGCCCTCTAGATTGAATCCTGATAACATGACCGTCATGTATTTTTTGTAGGAGATATGTTACTGTTCAAGTATATTCATCAACCTTCCGAGCTAAGTTCTTCTGTGTAACTCTAAAGTCGTGGAATTTAACCTAAATGCATTCTTGAATTCATTTGGAGCTGATTAGGGAAGCAGTTGGAAAGGACTGCTGCTCTGCTCACTACCCGGATACGCTGGCACAGGTGTCAACTTCTTGGTGCTTCAGTCTCTTTGCCTGTTAATCTCTGAGTTACGCTGGATAATCTCCAAAGACTTTCAGCTCAAAACTTCTCTGAATTTCAGTTCTTTTTCCAACTTCTGAAATAGCATAAACTTTACTCCTTTTCCGAGTGTTCCTGTATCTTTCCACCTTATTTGATGTGATGAATTCTTCATCGGAATTTATTCATTTACTTTTATTTCTGTTTTTATTTTTGTTTTTTATTTTTTACTTTTTTTGAGTTGGAGTTTCACCCAGTCGCCCAGACTGGAGTGCAGTGGCTGCTCCCGGCCACCGCAGCCTCGACCTGCTGGGCTCTGGTGATCCTTCCTCCTCAACCTTCCAAGTAGCTGGAACCACAGGCGCACGCTACCATGCCCGGCTAATATTTTGATTTATTGTAGAGATGAGGTCTTGCCAAGTTGCCCAGGCGGGTCTCGAACCTGTAGGCTCAGGCAATCTACTCACCTCAACCTCCCAAGGCACGGGATTACAGACTGAGCCACCGAGCCTGGCTTCTTCATTGGAATTTAAAGAACAGGTCATACTTTTCTAGTACAGAGAGCGTCATGAAGCTTCACAGATTCACATTTTGGCATTGGAGAGTCAAGTCATAGGTGGTATGCTGTGGCGTAGATATGCTGTGTCTGCCTAATGCACGTTTTCATTTGATTGTATGTTTGCTAAGAGTGGGCAGTTGTCTACCTGCAATTTAATTCTCATAGATCTTTAGTTTTTAATCTGGCAAGTGGTTAGTATGCATTTAAATGAAACCATGAATTGGTATATGCTGTAATTTACATTTTTAGTATTTAGATATTAAATTTACTATGTAGTTTATGAATATCTGTTGCAAAGTTAATGTTGGCGCTTTTAGTACTTTCTTCCAGCATCCATTTAGATTGTAACAGTTACACGTAATTTGGGAAAATTTCCACACACTAGGTAAAGAAGAGGGCATACAGAATTGTGAAGCCCAATGATCTGAAGCTCTGGGAATGGAGGCCACTAAAGAAAGGGCTACAGTTAAGTCATGTACCGAGGAAGGAGGAGAGAAAGCTTTACCTCTCAACAGGACTATTCTTTTCTTGCCTTAATGGCCAAGCTTACCCAATAAATTTCTCTGTGCCCATTTATTTTATTAACTATTTAGCTGTCTTTCATCCTGATCAGTTTGATTTTCTTTTTTTTTCATTTTTTTTTGAGTTGGAGTCTCACTCTGTCACCCAGACTGCGAGTACAGTGGCCGCTCCCGGCCACCGCAGCCTCCATCTGCTGGGCTCAGGCGATCCTTTCGCCTCAGCCTTCCAAGTAGCTGGAACAACAGGCGCACGCTACCACGCCCGGCTGATTTTTTGATTTATTGTAGAGATAAGGTCTCACCAAGTTGCCCAGGTGGGTCTTAAACCCGCGGGCTCGGGCAGTCCACTCACCTCGGCCTCCCAAAGTGCGGGATTACAGGCTGAGCCACCGAGCCCAGCCCCTGATCAATTTGACTTTCTAAGGGCTTTAGCGACTTTGTCCTGTCCCAAATAAGTCATTTAAAACATTTTTGTGTTTCATTCACACTTCGGTGCATCTGACATCTTGCTGGAGCTTCTTTGGCTTCTATGACATATGCTTGCTCTGAATCTGTCTTCAGGCTAATGTTTTTCTCCTTTAGAAGTCATTTTTGTCACCCTATGTGAGGGTCATCACATTAAGGCTGGTGCAGAGATGTGAAGTAGCCCTGCTCACTTAATGTGGTTTACTGGTCCCCCAAAGAGAGGCTTCCTTGCTGCTACAGAAAAGATAAAAAATCTGCATCTGGGAACAATCACATGTCTAAGGGAACTGCATGCAAAAATCAGACGAACAGATGAAGACAATGTAGACTTTAGTTTATTTTAAACTAGGATCAGACAAAATAAGCCGAGTAGCGTGGGTCATTCCAAATCCTAGCCTGGGCCGGAGAGAAAGCTGTAACTTTCACAGGGATCCACGGGCGGATGAGTGTGAGGCGCGAAACAGCTGAGGTCTCTAGCAAGAGGAAGGGGGGGCCAGTCTCCTGTGAAGTAGGAGAGCCATTCTGGAGAGGTCAAGGTGAGGAATAGTTTTTGTTTCTTTAATGCCCCGTGCCTCCATGCTCTGGGCCATCTTCCTCTCCAGTCTCTTGCATTTTCTCTTCTTTCTCGTTCCAAAGCCAGCGAACTCCCATCTTCGTCCCCTCTAGCACTGTTAGCCAAGACTACTCCTGACGCCACTCCTGAGTGTCCACTGCTGGTCAGGCACTTTGTTTTTGATGCTTTCCCATGGTCTCATCCTGGTCACAAGATCAGTGTTATTTCTACTTAACAGATGAGGCAGTCAGGCAGTCAAGCAGTCACCCACTTGGCGCTACAGAACTAAGTATGCAGATTTCACTTCACTGTTTTACAGTCTTATTCCTTCCTGTAAGCCTCCTGCTCCTTTAGGCTTATTGGTGTTTAGAGTTACTCCGATTCTGTTTTCTTTATCACGTCCTTATTAAAAAATGTAGATTTATGTTACTGTGTTTCCCTAATTATAAATTCAACTTTCAAAGCTCTTTCCAGACTTGCCCCATCTTTTCTTCTGTCCTGCTCTCCTGCTCCCAAACAGCAGAGCTTCCTGGGATTCTCTTTTCCTTCTGATTGCTAGTGACTTGCTGCCTTCTGTGCCTTCTTATCCTTCCTTCTATTCCAGTATCTTTCCCACTGCTATCCCAAGTGCCTCTTCTGGGAGTCCTTGCTATAACCCTCTATGGTCAATCCAGTTGACTGTCTGTCCTAGGTGACATTCCCTCAGCCCTCACAGCTTCATAGCTGTGTGTTTGTTTGTCCTTTGGGTTCCCACAGTGTGTACTGTGGCTTTATAAACAACTGTTGAAACTCTTTCCAAGCAGATTCTCTACCCCTTTTCTATTTCACATTGCCTCAAAGCACCTGGTAGAGTTTTTGATCCACAGAAAATTTAGGAAATATTTATTATCTTTTATTCCATTTGAAGTCTACATTTTAAAAGATGAAACTGGCTGGGCTTGGTGGCTCATCCTGTAATCCCAGCACTTTGGGAGGCCAAGGCAAGTGAATTACCTGAGCCCGTGGATTCAAGACCATCCCGGAAAACTTGGAGAGACCTCGTCTCTGCAATAAATCAAAAATTAGCCGGGCATAGTAGTGCACGCCTGTAGTTCTGGCTACTTGGAAGGCTGAGGCAGAAGGATCACCGGAGCCCAGCAGGTCGACGCTATAACCCTCTATGACGCTGGGGTGGCCGCGAGTGTGCCACTGTACTCCAGCCTGGGCGACAGAGTGAGACTCCAACTCAAAACAAACAAATAAATAAATAAATAAAGATGAAACTGACAGCGTGATCATATGTAATTATTGAAATCCTGTTATTTTACATCAGGAAAAAACAATGACAAATGATTTTTTGGAGAAAGTGGGAGCTTTCACAAGATCACATTTTAGGCCTAAAATCCAAATGGGCCAAAACAATGCAGTCCCCCACCTCAGATACGTAGGCTATGACTCATTTTGCTGAAAAACTGGTATTCCCACATGTATGAAGTCTGTGCTATATGTGAAGAAATTTGAAATGTTTGGTTGTTGAAGGTTGTTATCGTCCTCTGGGATGTAATCATTTCCCTTTTCCTCACCCTATTCTTAGTCCCACCAACAGCATGAGTTGCGTGGCAAATACAGGCTTGTTCTAAAACTTGAAATAGCCCCAGGCACCTCTTAGAGATGAGCATTTGAGGGTGATGCTTGAAACTGTGTTAGTTTCAATCCTGTGTTTTCTTTTTTCAGGTTTCCTGAAATGCAGTTTTTCCAGCAGGAAAATGTGAGGAAAATTCTTACAGATGTTCTTTTCTGTTATGCTAGAGAAAACGAGCAGTTGCTTTATAAACAGGTAATGAAAATATCTTACAGGTGGCATCCATTGACTCAAAATTTTCTATACAGCTTGACAAATGATAGAGTAATAATGTAGCCTTTATTGTATCCAAAGTTGTATCATAATGCTAAAGCAATCAAAGAGCTGCTTGTCAGCTGCATGGTGAGAAAAGAAAGCTCATTGAAGCACATATGCTTCTTCCTCATTCCAAGACATTCCACCAAATTGTCGTCTATAAGACGTTCAATCTTTTCTTTCAACTTTTAGGAGTTTGTTTATAAACAGTATCTTTGAAGCCAATCTAGTAATAAAACTTTTCAGAGGTGTGTGCATGTGTAAATACTATTTTTAAGTATAGCATTTATAAATATGTCTCATGTCATGTAAGAAATAATAAAGTATCCCATTACTCTTGGAAACTTACCAGTAATAAGACTTCAAAAAGTTTCTATAAATCTTTTGAAATTTATATTTAGTTCCTTCATGCTCCTGCTGTTTGACTCGTCTCATCATTAAAGCAAAGATGATTGGATTGTTTTCAGCCTTGATTGTGTAAATTATTTAATATATAAAGCTGAGTCTAGCATTTCTATTTAAGTTTATAATGTTCCAATAGGAATACACACAGTTGGATATTTCTATGTATTTTTCCAAATGTATATTAAGTGGGGATTCAAGCTAAATTCATAAGTTCTGTAGCAATCAAAATTTATAACACACAGCTAATGGAGGACTACTGAACTTTAATTTACTATAATAGAAACCGCTTATAGGAGAAACAGTATATTTAATTTGTAATAATCTTAATAGATTTAAAGATGGTAAGACAAGGCAGATTCTAGTTATACTAAATAATACATTTTTATTATTGTATACTTATCATACCAAGGGAACTAATTTTATCTTATTTTTCAATATTAGCAATATGTCTTTATATTAATTATATGCTGACAATAACTTTTTAGTATTGGAAATGAAAAAATGTATCTCATTTATAATGGCAACCTAAACTATCAAGTATTTAGAAACAAATGTACCAATAATGATACAAAAGCTGTGTGAAGAAAACTATAAATGTTATTAAAGGATAAAGCAAGTATTGAATAAAGAAATGATAGAATGTTTTAGCTGAGACTTTAAGTAAAAATATTACTTCTTTCAAAATTAATATATAAATGTATTGTCAATCAATAATAACCTAAGTTTGATATGTGTTTTTTCAAAAACTAGGTATATTTATTTTAAATTTAGTACCTAAAAATTTTAGTTATTTTAATGGAGATAATATGGCTTAGTGGTTAAAAGCACTAAGTCTAGACTCAAATAACTTTATTTGAATCTTAGCTCCATCATCTACTAACGTCACAATCTTAGACAATTTACTTACTTAACTTCAATTATTCGTTTTGTTATCTTTAATATGGGGACAATAATATTTACTTTTTAGAGTTAACATATAGTGTTCACCAAAGGTTCCTGTTGGTAGTTATGGTTATTATTGTTATTATCATTTATAATTAAGTGTGTTGGAGTTGCAACACAATTTGGGGGAAAGGAGAATGACAAAGGGAACCATTAAAACTTCTGGAAAGTTTTCATGATCAAACTAATATATTAGTGGGAATTGACCAACTGATCAGTGGATCAGCCTAGTAGCAGGTCTAATTATATATGGCATCCTAATATGATAAAATAGGGAAAATGATACTGACTTGCTATATTTGACTTTCCATCTGGAAAAAAATTAAATTTTATCTTGAAACGGAGAATAAATTCCAGATGGACTAAAGATATAAGTGTAAAAACGGAAAATGTTTAAAAATACTGGAAGATTTAGGAAAACTTTTATGTAATCTCAGAGTAGGAAAGGCCTTGACAAGCAAGAGAGCCTATCCAGAAGTCAGATATGCAGTCTAAAGACCAAAAACCAAAAAGGAAACTGGGAGGAAAAAAAAAATCTGTTGGTGTAGACTGCTTTTGAAAACAAGGAACAGGAGACCTCATTCAAAGGCTTATACTGTACAGGGTGTTGTTTATACACGTAGCATGAAACCTAGCATCTGTGGTTCTGTGTCTAGGTCAGGAGTTCCGAGTCTTCATCAAGGATCCAACTCCCTTCTCCTGGGGGTGGCTTTAGTTGTAAAGCTTACCTCCTCGTTGTTCCCTCTCCTCTTTCAAGCATTTGAAAATAACTCACGGTAAAAGACTGGATAACAGTCAATCAGGTCAGGATAATATTATCCCAAGTTACATATCTGTTTTTCTGTTCTTTTTTAGAGAAAGAGAAAGGATTAATGAAGGGTTTTTTTAAATAATGAAAACAGAGATTCCACAGACAAAAAACAAAAACAGAGTAACTGCCCATTCCACCATGAGTGATGTGTGTGACCCACTGTATTTGTATGGAGGACTACGTAAGAAGGTGGAAAATCAGATTCTTGATAATTTGGAAAAAAACCTACCAACTACCGAATAAAAAAGTATTATTAGCTTACTCCCAGGTGTCACTTTAAAATATTTAATTATTCCTTGTACATGTTTAAAATCATATGATATATGATTTTTTTTTTTTAAACAGAGGAATAATACCTTGCTGTAGAAGGAAGGACTGAATATTTAGCCAGATCAAATTTAAGAAAAAAACTTGAGTTTCATCACAAGCTGTTAAAGCTATTATTTTGTACTAGGTGACACCCCGTTTAACATCGACCATATTGTTAATAGTTATGGGATTTTATTGAATTAATGAGACTGTTATCATGTAGTAGAATGTCTTGCTGAGTTAATTGAAATTGCAGAGATTATATAAATGGTATTAATGAACTTTGACTGCCTGATGCCTTCACTTTAATAAAGACTGCTTGGTGGGCTAAATGAACACAGGCAGATAAAAGAACAGGTTCAATTTTGTGAGCCTACAGGCTGTTGATGAAGGAAACTTTGTTACCTTTATTTTCAATTGGCATGACTACTAACAGTGTAACCCTGATAAAAGTTTTAGGCGAGCAGAAATGCCGACAGTATAAGGGAAGCAAAATACTCATTTTGGGAACCAAGAATTATACTGACATATAATTTTTTGTCATGTTTCATTAAGCTTACGGCATATCACATTCATGTTTATTCTTTCTGGATAGTTCTTTTTTAAAGATGTCGGTATACTTGCTGCTGGTAATCACTAATTAGGGTTTACTACTGTAGAATTGAGAGCAAAACCAACAATCTCTTTCAGGTATTTGAAAAAAACATGCTTAGTATAGATGAAAGTAAAAACTGACATGTAAAAGATTGACTTAATGGTTATCAGAAGACCCTTAATTTCATTTTTCAAAGAACATTTTTATTTTATTTGAAATATGATCTAATGCTGTTCTTTTTTAATACTGCAGTTCAGCCTTTCCGTATGTTGATACATTGAGTGGTAAATATTCATTCAGTCAGTGTGTATTGAGGACCTTCCTTGTGCTGGGCCTGTTGTAGTATCTAGATCTATGTATGTATGTGTTTATACACAAACACATACTTACCCCCCACTTGTCACAGTTTGTAATTGTACAGTAGTCCACTTTCTATTTTACGAGATGAAGTCTTGCTATATTGTTCAGGCTGGTCTTGAACTCCTGGGCACAAGCAATCCTCCCGCCTTGGCCTCCCAAAGTTCTGGGATTATAGACCCAGCCTAGTAGTCCTCCTTTACCTGCAGTTTCACTCTACAGTTTCAGTTACCCGCAGTTGACTGTGGTCCAAAAATAGAGTGCAGTACAATTAGATATTTTGAGACAGAGAAGTCCATCTTCTCATAACTTTTGTTACAGTGTATTGATATAACTATTCTGTTATTTTTGTTAATCTCTTACAGTTTATAAATTTATAAAGTAAACTTTATCCTAGGTAGTTATGCATAGAAAAAAGAGTAGTATGTGGAGAGTTCAGAACCACTCATAGCTCCAGCACCCACGGGTAGGTCTGGGGATGGACTTCTTCCATCCAAGGGACAGTACTGTGCAGTGATTTCCCTGCTTGTCTTATGCCTGTGCGGCTCCCGCTCCACACTGTAGGCTCTGTTGAGGTTAGGAGCTTGCCTATTTCTTCCATGTTTGGGCTCACAGCACATGCAGGCATTGGCTGGTTTTTGCAGTAAGCAGGTGACGAATGATGCTTAAGCCAACAGAGAATCAAGAGAAAGCAGTGCCAGAAACTAGGGGGACGGGAACATTAAACCAGGGGGAGATGCATTCAGACAAGAGCTCTTTCTTATTTAACTAGCTGTAATTTGCTAAAAAGTATATTGTGGGATGAAAAGACACATTCAAAAGATCATTACCACTAACAACAAAGAAAACCCAATAACTGCAGTTTTATAAACTTTTGAACTGGAAAATCCAGTGTTCTTAAAAATATTTTCCTCAAGTTAATTTTAATGCAGTGCCTGTAAAAATTTCAGTGTTTATTTTACCAGTTTATGTAACCTAAATGATACTGAAATAACATGGAAAAAGAAATTCAGATAGGCAATATAAATTTGAAAAAAATGAGCAGAAAATATGGAGCACTAGAATATTTTAAAGGTCAAGCTTGTATAATCATACAGTTTTTGTAAGAATATATGGAACAATGGAGTTTAAGTGAAAGCCCAGAAAAAAAAAAGTAAGCTTAATATTCAGTTTGTAGAAAAGATAGCATTTCAGAACTCTTAGGAGAAGATGGGTTATTTGATTTATTGAATAGATTGAATTTATTGAAAATGGAATGATTATTCTATAAATTAGTTTAGTTCTTTTGGAGAAAAAAATACACACTTATTTTCATGAAAAAACTTAAACTAATATCAGTTGTGTGAAGAATTAGCTGAAAGAAAGGAAATCTTATCCTTCCTAATTTCAAGATGAGGAAGATCTTTTTATGCTTGAAAACAAAAAAAGGAAATCGTGAAGGGGTTATTGTACTATTTTAAAGTGCATAAAGTCAGTATGACGTAAGATATCATGGTGTTCAAAATTAAAAGACAAGTGAAAACATAGGAAAATATTTGTAACCAAACTTTCAAAGAATTAATATATTGAATTGGTTTTTAAAATAAAAAACTTATTGCATATTATTGGGGAAAGGAAATGGTTCATCAGGAGAAAATAGACAATCATTAAATAAAAATGGCCAATAAAATTATTTAGGTCAATTTTGCCAGCGTTTAAATAGTAACAACAGTTTGTGGAATTTGGCAAGCTTTTTTAAAAATGATAAATATAATAGGTTAGGATGTGTGAGAGGGTGATTTTTATATTCTGCAGTGAGGGACTTCATTCTGGGGAGTGGTCTGATGGTATACATCAAAGACTTTAGCAAATATCTTGACATCTTTACCCAGAAATTCTATTTCCAAGGATTTTATCTTAAAGAAATCATCAGAAGTAGGTAAGAACATCACCACAATAATATCTTTTAGGGTTTTCAGTTTCTTTCCTTTTTTTGTTGTTTTGTGACTGGCTAGCCTTTCCTCCCTCCCTTCTTTTCTTTATCCTCTTTTTGTTTTTGCTTTTCCATAGTTTTTTATTTGTTTGTTTGTTTAATAATAAGTACCTGTTACTTTGATGATTACAGTTATGGCACTTCCACTGTGGCTCACGCCTGTATTTCCAGCACTTTGGGAGGCTGAGGCGAGAGGATTTCCTGAGCTCAAGTGTTTGAGACCAGCCTGGGCAGCTTGGTGAGACCTTGTCTCTACAATAAATCAAAAAAATTAGCTGGGTGTGGTGACACACGCCGTAGTTCCAGCTACTTGAAATGCTGAGGCGGAAGGATCACCTGAGCCCAGTGGGTCGAGGGTGCGGTGGCCATGAGTGTGCCACTGCACTCCAACCTGGGCGACAGAGTGACACTCTGACTCAGTAAATCAATCAATCAATCATGGCACTTTTTTTTGGAGTAACTTCAGATTATTCCAAGAGAATAAGCAGAGTGAGTAACACTTAACATCATTTTTTCTAGGCGTCTCCATGTTCATCTAAGGAATATTTTTTCCAGGTTTGTTTGTAAAGATTAAAATGATGGATGTGTGGCAGTCTGTCCTAAATCACAAGTAAATTGTCAGTGAATCATAAGTCTTTTTGTAAAAATGTAATGAAACCCTTTTAATTCAAGTCTAATGATAACTTATATATATATAAATGAGATCTGATCAAGTTGGCGCACATATCATCTTTGTGTTAACAACTAGCTTCCTAAGAGCACAGTGTGTAGACTCTGCAGTGGGCCACGTGACTCTGCGTCCATATGGGAAGCCACCAGCAAACAATTCCTTCCTCTCTGTGTCTCATGTTTTATTTTTATTTTCTCAAAAGGTGGCATTTTTCTCTTGTCTCTTAAAAAGAGCAGCCTTAGTTACTAAGCAAAAGGAAAGTAGTAATTCACTCACTTTTAAAGGCAGGAAAGAATCTAATCTTTTTTCACTTGCTAAAATACGGTTTTTGATGCTTAAGGGGGAAAAAAATCTCAATTAGCAAGGCTAGTCACTAATGCCAGATACCTTAAGTACCTTATATCCCCACAATATTGAATAAATAACAGTTTATAGTATCCTTTTAAAGACAGCTTAGTAGTTAATTTTGTACTTTTTTGTTCCTATGCATGGTGAACCCCAATATAAGGAGGAAAATTGTACTGGTGAAATCATTAAATAAATTGAAGCTGAAATAGATGGAAAAGAATTATGGTGACTTTCTGATTAAACGGGTTGTGTGAATCACATTTATAAAACTTTATTTTCTGTCGTACCTGCTAAAGATTGTTTCTTTTATTATCCAGCATTTCTAGGCAGATGACTTCAACTCTTCCTAAATCTACAGACATCCTAATTTTGAGCCATTATATAATGAAAACACTGGATGTAATTTCCTTGGTCTACAGTTCCTAGTTGCCCTTCTTACTGCAGATCTTTACACTGTAGCTCATGATTATAATTTGCATAAGTGAAATTCATATTTATGAGTACGGATCTTGAAGCAACTGACAGGTGCAAGGTTGTCTACCATGCCAATTTATTGTTTGTCAATGTCATTTAAAAGGAAACTGCTTTCCATGTTTTAAGGAAGAATACCTGCTGTGGTTGAATTGGAATCACTTTTAAGGGTGGGTAAAATCTCATTTAGTCGCTGTCCGTTTTAATGCTTTTCTTTAGAATATGGAGATGCTGGGAGTGGGAGTTGCTGAAGGCATATTCGACCGAGCTTGCGCGTGTGCTGTCCACTCCTGGGCCCTCCATGCTGGCTCTTCCATTTTTCTTGCTCTTTTGTTCCAGGGCATGCATGAGCTGTTAGCACCTATAGTCTTCACCCTTCACTGTGACCACCAGGCTTTTCTACATGCCAGCGAGTCTGCACAGCCCAGGCAAGTTTTTATATGAGCTCTAGGTGTTTTTTCAGTCCCCACTGTCATCACTTTTTAAATCTCAAACTCTTTTAAATTGAAGGTACTTCTAAGTTTTGTAAGTTGTAAACTTTATGATTTTTACGTAGTTAACTGTTAATTCCACTTAAGAGTTCTAATACCAGTTTAGCTTTGGGACAAATTCACAATCATAATATCTTTGAAAATCTTAAGGCTGTATCAAAGGAAGATCAAGAAGAGGAAATTTTTGTTGTAATGACTCAGTGCTAGTGATTGATAATATTCATGTAGATCATCCTCTAATGGCCCATTTTTCACTTCAAGTTGAATGAGAATTTTATCTGTGAGACGATTTCTCCTCACCAGGCTTGACTCAGCTTAGTATATGAGCAAGAGAGCAAAGCCGCAAAGAAGCTCAGTCTGTAAATAAAGCTGCTTCTCACATTTTTGAGATACGCTCATTTGTTCTCTCTCGCACATAACATAATCATAGTTGGGGTTAACTTGGGCCAATTGTTAGAACTCAGTTCTGCCTTTGCAGACCCCAACCCATGCGCTGGAGAGCCCTCCCAGAAGGGTTCTGGGAGAAGAGCTTGTCGGGAGTGTTCCCCAAGCCCACCGGTCTGTGTGGGAAGCAGAAAGCCATGTGTGGTGGTTCCCAGATTCATCTGGGCGGGCTGGATTAATCCAGTACAGTTGTCCATTTGCTGAGCATATGTTTGGGCCTTCATTAAGTTAATGTTTGTCTGCTAGTTTGTAGATGAGTATTTTTAGGTTTCCTGTGAGCTTTTTTTTTTTTTTTTTTTTTTTTTTTTTT